ATATGTACCAAGTGCTGTATGTCAGGTAATCTCAAATTAAGTTAATATTTGGATATTTTTAACTTTTCATCCCTGCTAATACACACACTGAACTATAAATATTCTTCAAATTTCTTCGAAGAAAATGTAATGTGTAGGCTAAATGCAAATGCTTTCCAAACTTTTCATGTTGGGCACCCTTTGATTCAAAGGAAAGTTTTGTGAAGCCCTCCAACCACCGTTTTAAATACTTAGCAAAGAAATATTAGCTGCAGTAAAGAAAATTGCAATCACATAAACTGCAATGTCTCCACTTTAAAACTAACACTTTCAAAGTCTGATTAATTCACATTGCAATTAATATATCAGTTTTATTTTCCTCTAAAAATTGGTAATCTATTTAGTTAATATCTACCGATCCCCTCCAGGGAGCGCACACCCTTCTTTGGGGACCACTTAGCCACACTAAACTAAAAAAGCACTTTAAAACTTGGAGAGAAAAAAATTACAAAGTATAACATGGTAAATTATTATGGAAGAAATCTGTTTTTTTTTTAAAAGAGAGAGATAAGGAAACAAGTGCATTGATAAAACTACAGTGTCATGATCTTGGCGCTGATGGTTGACTTAATTGCTCATTTCATTTACCTGTCTAACTCTGTCCTGTTCACATCACTGCTTATCTGATCCACCTGTATCTACTTAAACTCCTTGGTCCCAGCTATCAGTGCCAGATTATTTTTGAGCCTTTGGTGAGAGTTTTTCTAGCATAACTTATTGTGTTCTGATTGTTCTGATCCTGGCCCGTTTAGCTTTTGGAACTTTGAGCTTCCCTGTCCTGATCTGTTTTCCTGCCTGTCTTCTGACATCTGCTAGATTCTACTGTGGACTGAATCTGATCTGCCTCTTGACTTCACCTTTTTATTATCTTGTCTTCCATCATCTTTCTGGCTCTGATCTCCTGCCAGTTATGCAGCCTTTTAGGCTACGTTCACACTGCAGGCCTTGATGTTCAATTCCAATTTTTTTGTGAAATCCGACTTTTTCACGTTGCCGTTCATATTTCCAAATATATGCGACTTGTATGTGATCTCCTGTGTGAACTGCAGTCATACAACGAAGTGTCCCGCATGCGCAGTAGTGGACGCAATGACGTCACAGGCCAGCATGCTCTTTTTTCCGCAAGTAAACATGGATGGTAGTGCCGGAGCGCATCTAGCGGTCTTTTCCATCCATAAAAACACAATCTTTTCAATGGTTCTTGTTTTTCTTGCCGCTTCTGACGCATAATAGTGACCTTTGTCAGGTATTAATGACATTCAGTCATGCGTTCACACGCAGGTCGCACTTGAAAAGATCAGATTCGTATCGGATTCAGGACCACATAGCCAAGTGGCCTGGGTCGGATTGGAAAAAATCGGATCTGTGCTGTTCAGAATGCCATGAAAAGATCAGATCCAGGTCGCATATGGGCAAAAAAAAATCGGATTTGGGTCACTTCAGGCTGCAGTGTGAACGTAGCCTTAGGCTTCAGTGTCTGGAACTCTCTGCCAGCATCTGCTGTGTCTTGTCGGACTGAACTGTAAAACCAGGTTAGTGACTCACGCATTCATAATCATCCTCTCTCAGATTATCGTGGTCACTAACCTGTGTTTCTCTCCTTCAGAGGTTCCTGCATTAGACGCCCTAGCCGCTGCTACTGCAGATCCACAGCCCGTTGCTTAAAGAAAACGCTTTTTAAAGGGGAATTTGTTTTTTTATTTACATTGGGCCCTTGATTTTACGTTATTACATCATGTTTTACTCACCCATATGAGTTTTGTGTCATTTGGAGCTGTTCTGAAGATATTCCGTAGGTTATATCCAAGTAACCTCCTCCTATGGGCAAACAACTTGAAGGGACAAACTAAACTGTTCATAATTTATTCGTTATGGTACAGCAGCATTCATAACATGTAGGCGAATCATTGTCCCCCAGACATCCGCGGTTATATTTTTTATATTTATATCTTTTAAAAACAAAGCGGCACGTGTATGACGTCTGACGTATGACGAACTGGAGGTTGTTTTTTTTTTTTTTACTTTATTTAACCAATGTACATTACACCACCCGGCTACGCTCTACCTCTTATATATTCTGCTAGCAAATCTGAATCGTTAAATTCCATATCGACAGCGAGATCATCTGTGGTAGTAGCACTAGACATCTTCCAGTCATGTGAGTAAAAATAGCAGCAGTTCAGCTGACAGGACAAGAAGGATGAACAGTAGGCGGCGCACGCGGATGACGTCATACACACGCCGCTTTGTTTTTAAAAAATAGAAATATAAAAAATATAACCGCGGCCGTCTGGGGGACGGTGATTCGCCTACATGTTATGAATGCCGGGCGTACCATAAAGAATAAATTGTGAACAGTTTAGTTTCTATCTTCAAGTCGTTGCCCATAGGAAGACATTACTTGGATATAACCAAACGGAATATCTTCAGAACGGCTCCAAATGACACAGAACTCATATGGGTGAGTAGAACAGGATGCGATAATGTAAAATCAAGGGACAAATGTAAAAATAACAGTGTTCCCCTTTAAGTTATGCCACTGTCTGCCTTGCCTGAATTCCGGGTCCCTCTGTTCTGAGTCATTACATACAGAGGCTGAACTGCCTTGCAGTGGAAAAGATGCAGTCAACTATTAGCAGGGAAGCACTAGAAACCCCCAATTAATAACTATAGAACTATACTAAATGAATCTAAACCCTTACATTGTTCTATAATTATGAGTTATGAAACTATAAAGACATTAATACATATTTTTAATAACAGTTTGGAAATGTAGAATCAGGTGGAAAAACCTCCATCACATCAGACAATATGCTGAGGCTATATATGTCACCTTAAAAATGTGGTTTAAGTTAGGTAATAGAAATATATATATATTTATATTATTTGTATATAAATGACAAGACCTGACCTCCCACATATCCATAGTTTTTATTTCTACTTGTTCACAATGTTTTTTTTTTTTTTTTTTTTTTTTTTTTTTTGGGGGGGGGGGGGGGTTGCTCAGGGGAAACAGAAATGACAGAACAGTCTTTGGTTGATTGTAATTTATCATCACATCCTCAGTTTGTTTTTCAATATAATCAAATTTCTAGTAGCTTGTGATTGAGAAACAGGGAGCAACTAAAGCCTAAAACTATGGATTTTTAAAATAAATTCTGTGTAAACATCATAAATACAATGCATAATAAAGTTAGGGCTCAAAAAACATGCCATGAAGTATCAGTGATAATCTACAGTATGGTTTTAGTCAGCAGCAAATGAGACGTATGAAAGTTTCTACAGATCTACACATATTAGGGAGCGGAAAAGAAAACCATTTCATCTCAAAGTCTTAAATTTTCCTTACTTGTAAATTTGGGGCTTTCTTTGTGCTCACTGGGAGGAAGGTCCGCAAACTGCACCCGGTGTCCAGACATACTGGCCGTTTGAAAGTAGATCCTCTCCGTAAACTTTCCCAGCTGGTCAGTGCGTCCTGGCGCGTGGGGATCTTCCACGGAGAACCGCACGCTGCAGGAGAGAGTCTGCGTTTGTCGGTGACTTTCTTTCTCCCTATGCGCTGATTCAGAGCCTGCAACAGCCCCACTGCAGAGAAACCGGCTGCTCTCACCTGCCTCCTTCTGCTCCGCTCAGCCCGCCTGCTTGTTTATGGAGGAAACGCAGGCGCCACATAGAGCCTCTCTATCCTCCCGCATTAGACAGAAGACTCAAACTTTCTTCTATAAGCCTATGACTGCATTATTGCGCCACTACTGTAAAAAATATGATTCTAATAACATAATACAGTTCAATAAGCGGCAGGTCTAATACACACCGGCCATCGGCCATAATAATGAAAGCACTAATGTTATTGGAAGGTTATTTAAAGGAGAACTTAAGATTTTTCAACTTTAAATGGAAAAACGCAATATATTCATAAATGCATCACTTCAAAAAATATTTCATTTGAACTTTTTTTTTAAATAACTCGCATTAGAGGCTCTGATCATCCCTAAACTTGAACAAAAATTAAAAATACTGGATGCATTATTTAGACGTTCGGGTAATTTTGGAAATAGTATCAGAGTCTACAGTGCCATCTTTTGGCCGAAAAGCAGAACTGTATTTTTTTCTTTTCTTTTTTTTCTCTTTTTTTTTCTGGCATTGTGGTAGTTTTTGTTGGAGGAAATAAAAGAATAAAGAGTAATTTCCTGTTCTCTGAATAATTTACTGAAACAAACCATAGCTGAGGTATTTCTGGAAATCCTTCCAACGACTTTGTAAAAATAGACTGGAATGTGCTGCAGTTAGACTGAGGTATTCTTTTTTTTCTTTTTTTTTTGCTCTCTTTTGAAAGTTATTCTTTTGCAAACTTTTTTTTTGTTGTTGCAAATCCTCACTGGGATGATGATTGATTTGATTAATGGCTATAGAATACTTGCCCTTCCGTTTTTCATTTGGAGAAGATCCTTGTTTTATTGTAAAATTGCATTACCTTCATCATCGTTTTCTGTACATAAATCCTTGGGATTATATATTCTACCTTTACATTTATATTGTTGTACATTTGTCATTTAGTCACATTAAACCTGCTACTCTATTCCTTAATAAGATGTTATATTTGCTTTTACAAATACAACAGCAGCTGAAGCTTTAGGCGTGTTTAGCTTTTCACTAAAACATCAGTGTTTGTGGTCATTATGTTAGTGGTTATAACTTCCAACATAAACAATGAGGATAATAAATTTACAATTTGTTTTTTAGTTCTACTCTAAGTTGATTAGTTGGCTGAAGTCAACAAGATTTTATTCCCATAAAATCAAGAGTGTAATGATTACTTCTGGCATTGCTCTATCAGTCCTAACTTGATTCAACTGTGGTCAAGCACAATTTTGAACAGAAAGACGCTCAGGCAATACAAATAAGAGTAAGTTGGAGAAATAAAACTGTGGACATAATTCAAAATAAAAGTGAAGTCCATTTGTCTTATTTTATTCAGAAGTAATCCAAAAACATGAAATTGTTTACATTAATACAAATCACTGGGAATAAATGACAATAAGTTAAATTCCAACAATTATGTTGGGACTAGGCATGGACAGGATACTAGTATGATGGTAAAACGAGATTTGTACTAAAATGTACAATCTAACATTCTTAGAGTTTATAATTGGTAGAATGAGATACCGGATAAAGTGCTGGAGTTACTGGAATTTTCTCCAGGTGTGTTAAAGTAGTGCAGCTAACTGTTGGTGCAACTCTCGTGGTCAGCTATGACTAAAGGAAAACTACTAAACTTGTCACTTGCTAAAAAAGAAAGGAATTTGTAGTTTGGGTTATTTCAGATTAAAGAATAGAACAAATTGTCACAAGCTAGAAACTACAAACTCCCTTAGAATAAGTAATTAGTGCATATTAGCTCTAAAACTAACGCCAAATTCAGCTAGTATAAGTCTCTATTTTAAACATGTCTCTAAAGACTGTAAATAATAAAACATAAATAAAAATGGTTATACCTGTAATATTTTGCTTGAATAGCATTAGGAATACATTACTGCTTTAAGTAAAACCAATTAGATTATATTTAATTATATCTAATTAACACTATATCTAGTGCTTTTGTGCTAATGCTTTGCTAGGGGATAAAACAAAGAGAATTCCACCCTATGCCTAGTTGGAACTTTTGTGCTAAGAAAAGAAAAAGGAGATTCTACAAAATGCATAAAAAGTGGCAGAAATGCAATAAAGATTTCAATGTATTTCAAAAATAGGTTTTAAAACATTTCACTTTAAAATCTCATGCTTTCCTGATTCAAATAGGCAGTTTTCTGAGGAGTCTTTGGGAACATTTTGGATTTATTTGTGTACGTGAGATCCTAATATTTGGAATGTGAAATATAACAGTCTTTGTTGTTGTCTTAACAAACTTAGATCAGCTTAATTTTAAAATCAGCCTTGCATTTTACCAAGACTTCAATTTAAAGTTAGCTGCAGCTAAAAAGGTAGTAAAGTTGCCTTTTTTTAATGAATGAGAGTACATACAGTCAGAAAGTCAAAAATCAAAGCGATAATGGATAAACTGTAAAAATCAAGTCATAGTGCAGCAAATAAAAGACAAAGCAAGTCATCTAGAAATAAAATCACTGCAATCATTAAATATTAGTTTTTGTCCTTTGAATAGAAAATAATATAAAACATTTTCCTAAACTTTTCTTTTCCTCTACTCATTCAGACCTAGAAATGACAAATTCCAAAGCAAATTCCAGACTGCAGGGAACCCACTTTCAAATATATGGCAACTGCTACACAACATATGTCAGAGAAATCCAACTGGTCAGCCAAACAAAAGGCTAATAAATTCCTTAAACTTCAAGAAAACAAACTCAAATATTCACTCAGATCAACATAACTAAAATCTTCCAAAAAACAGCCATACATCCTTTCAAACTCCAATCCTGGAGTTCTTGTAAATAGAAAACTCAAGTCTGTGCACTGCACATACATTTAAGCCAAGAAATCTTACAAAAATAAGTTAAAGCAGGTAGAAACAAAATAAGTCTATCTTTCCTTCTGTAACAAAATATGTCCACTGTTACACAGTATTAAATTCAAACAGAACCGTTTTGTTCAAGGTACATCTTAGACAGCGAGGCCGCCATTGATTTCGCCAGTTCCTCGTCCCGCTTCCTTTGCATCTGCGATCGTCGACACCAGTCCTCGTACTCCGGATTGGGGAGGCGCTTATCCAGGACAACATCGTAGTGACCGTTGCTGAGCCAGCTGAGCCAGATTGCAGGTTTGGAGGCATCCTCCTCCCCGAGATAGTGCACCATGGTGGATACTGTGGCACTGTCCAGGCTGCCGCCAGTTGTAAGGTGGATATTGACATTCAGCATTTGGCTCATGGCTAGCAGCTCCGGATACCCGGCCCATGCCCCGTCTTGTGCCGCATTGATCAAGAACTCCCCGACGTCCCCCTCGATGATGGGGATGAACTCGTCGAGGTGGTCAGCGATGTGGTGCACGGTCTGCTCCCGCAGCTCCCCATGCTTGGCCTGGTCCCCGTATGTCGCCTTACACACGGCTCTGTATAGGCAGTTGCCATCTGGAATGATGTGGTACCTGTACTTGCGCCTATCCTGGAGGTATTTGTTCTGCCTCTCCACCTCGGCCAGGTAGCGGGTAACCTTATCGTTGATGCACCCCGTTTCTTGGCATCTCTGTGGCTGAGATTCTTGCAGGACGCTGAGCTCAAATGCCTTCTCCTTGTTAAAGTCTTTACTGGATGAACCAACGGGAGACATTTCTTCTATGTCAACCAGAGGAAATCCATTCCTTCTAGAAGATGTTTGTGAAGCAGCTTCTGGTTGATATGAATTCCTCACTGTCCCATTGATATTGTTGCTCCTGAAAACATGATTACCTGGAAACATCTCACCAGTCCCATTAGGCACATGATCCATCCCCACCACCGTTATATCTGAATCACAGTCATTGTAGAGCTGATTCTCACTTCTTTGCAGCTTGTTATTGGGCTCCTTTAGGATGTGAACTGGCACAGACCTCTCCACTCCATCGGGTCTACGGATTATTATCTCCGCCGTAGATGTGAAGTGAACCGGCCTCACCGATGAGGCTTCATAACAGGAAAGGGCTGGCATGTTTGGCTCACCCCTGTCGGTAGATGAAGTTGCGCGCACTTGAAGTTGTCCGTCGACCTCAGAGGAACTTTGCGCGGCCCCTTTGGAGCGCTCAGCCGCCGGGGACAGAGTGACAGTGACTTTCCCGGACCTAGACGCCCTCGGATAGTGTGTGAGAACGCTGTTGTACAGCTGCATGTTTGAACGGCAGTCCTTTATAGCGAGAGAAGCGGCAGGGCCGTTACGAAAACATGACAACAGCAGCTAAAAAATACACGCAGCCCCGTGTCATCGGCAACAACAGCAGGGAGTTGTGAGGAATGTCTCCATGGCCCCCAGTCCTGTTATCAGCGGAGCGCAGAGACGACGACACGCTCCAGTTTGGGCCCCTTGCGTCATTTACTGAGAGGGGGGGTGCCTCCCTAATTTTAGATTTCAAACTGCAACCCGAGCCTGCTGGTTAAAAACTGTGCAGCAAGATTCAACTATATGGACTTCCCTTTTAGATCTTTCAAAATAAAATGGCATTTTACGCAGCAATTACTGGAAAAAACCCAAATCTAGATAAGCCATTTTTTTCTTAAAATAAGTGCATTTGTTCTTGGATTGAGGAGGTAAAAGAGACATTTTGCCAATGGAACAAGACAATTTACACTTTAAATAAGAAAACACAATTGCATTGTCTAATTTCAAGTGTATATTATCTAATGATCTTATTTTAAGTGTAAAAATACTCATCCTGTTGGCAAACTATCTAACTTACCTACTCAAAGTAATAGTACATACACTTAATTTAGGAAATTTTAACTTATTTCGAGATTGTTTTTCCAGTGTGGGTTGTTTACAAGCCGATTTCTTATTTCTTCTACAATAATCAACTCCTAAAAGATTTAAGTTGCAAAAACAACCCTACACTTTGTGATACACATAAAATGCATGCATGGAAGGGGCTCTCTTTTAGCAGTTTATTCTAAACTAGTTGAAAAAATGTCATTTATATCATCATTTGTGTTTAGATACAAAAAAAGGACATTTCTGTCCAATAGATTTGTTGCTGTTTTTTCCTGCAGCTGAATGTTTTAGGTCGCTAACCATGAAAACTGATACAAAACCAATAAATGGACTGCTTTTTAGATAAAGATTTTATTTTTAAATTAGGGCTTTATTTAAGGGGCTTGTGTAAAAAAATGTTATCACCCCAGAAGAATAGCACATCTCATATGTTTCATATAATTAAGTTTACAGAACAAAGGCACAGAGACATAGCTTATTTTAAATAGTGGAAATAATTATTTTGGGATGCATTTAAGTATATGTAAGCAATAGGTCCAGAGTAAACAAATTGTATTTTCTCTCTCGTGTTTTGTATTAGATGTAACAATTTATTAATAATGTTTGAAAGAATGAAGCAATAAGATCAATCTAAACAGGGAAATTAAAATAGTTATACTAATTACAAAGATATCTACTTTTGGTGATTGGTAAGTTGTTAACAAATGACCAAAGCGCTATAAATGTAAATAAACTATTTTATTTTGAAATTTATTTTATTTTGCTTCCTTGGTTCTTGTGTCGATAGTGTACACTATAGCCCGTTTTTTTTTTTTTTTTCTTTCAAAAATTTAAACATGCCAAGAAAGTAAAATAAATAAATAATTAAAAAAGCAAGGAAAAAAAACAGCTCTACTGTCTGATTCTAAGGCTTTAAAGCAAGACAAGAAAAACATTTGCAAAACTGGTTTCTCAAACCCAGATATGGTGATAATTTCCGCACATTCAACTTTCAAATTCAGTCACAAATAATCTTATGAGATATACCCATAGTTATAAAAAGATATTTTATATTTTTTTAATAAAAAACAGACCCAACAAATATAAGACTAAACAAACCACAATTACTATTATAAAGTATTAATCATTAATAATAGTTATTTATTATATTATTATGCATTTTTTCAGTTTGATTCATAAACCACCTACTGTTAGTCACATTTAAATGCGTAAATGACAGTAGACTGCAAGCCTTTGATATGACAACCATGATCACATGCCTATATTTAACACCAGGACTGTCAGAGCTTCTGGAAATTACTAGAAGTGTGGCTGCTTGATTTAGCCTTTACCTCATAGTTATGCAGTTACTATTCAAGCTGTAAAGGATCTACTTAATGTATATGATATACAAGGTAGGGTAATAGGTCTGTGGAATATATGTATGTTCTGTCCATGGTTATTTTCTTCTTTTTTTTAATAGCTGTTTTGTTTAAAATTGAAAGACGTGTTATTTTTGTTTTGAAACTGATTTAGACCAGAAAAAAAGTACAATGTGGGATATGAGTAGAAGAAGACTAGAACTTAGACTTGACTTAGAAATAAAAGTGATGAAAGACAACTAGTAGGACCAATAAGATTATTTGAAGACCACATTGTCAGGTCTCATTATCTTTCCTTTCCTTTAGAACTGCTACCTAAAAAATATCCCCACAGATTGATGATTCCACCACCATCATGTTTTACAGTAGGGATGTAAAATTCCAATTTTAATCATGTCTGATCAGGAAACCTTTATCTACATGTTTGCATTGCCCTCTATCACATAAGAAAAAACAATTAGACTTCAAAGAAAGCATTTTCTTTGACAATAGCCTTCTTTTTGTCGCTCTATAATAGAGGTCAGCTTTATGAAATGTTGGATATTTGTCTTATCTGTCAAAAGATTCTCCCACCTGAGCTGTGATACTTGGAAGCTGCGGCATAATTAGGGCCCCATTGCGGTTTCTCCAACTAAATGTCACCTTACAGTACTTTGTGTAGATGGACAGCCATGTCTTGGTATGTTTCTATATTTGGAAGGTGTATTGAGCAGTGCACCATTTCATCTTAAAAGCTTTGGATATAAATATATGTTTCATAATCATACCCTGCTCTAAACATCTCCAAAAATAACAGACCTTCTGAAATTAAATAAAACAAAGCTGACCTCTATTTACTAATTAAGTGACTCCTGAAGGCAATGGATCTAAATCAAATATAATACAAAGGACTAGTTTAAAGATGGGTAAATAAAAATGCATCCCATGTTATTTTTTTTTTATAATTTTGGCAATATATTTCTTGAAAGCCCTTCCGTCCTCTTCCCAAATAATGCTTATTTATGTTAGTCTGAAATTATGATAATTACTGGCAGTGACTTTAAAAATATGGAAAAGTGAAAAATGTTTGGAAACATATGCAAGACACTGTATTAGACGTTTTGTTCAAAATCCCTAAGCCAGTAACATATCTACGTACAGCAGTGTAAATGTTTTTTTTTTCCTTATCTTTTTTTTTTTTTTTTTAGTTAAAACATGTCTCTTCGTTTTTTTTTGTTTTTTTTCCTTTTCTTTTTAAAGTGTCCAGCTACTACCCGGATATTGATTTCAGGATGCACAGCAGCGTGTCAACCACCAGAGGGAGCCAGAGGATCTAAAACTTTTTCCCCCCCACGCCGCATTCTAATATTAATTACAACGGTAACCACTAGAGGGCGACATTTAAGCCTGAAAGACGGACCCAGAGCAGTTGTTTGGAACAAATTCATGCAAACAGCCACAGCAGCTGTCGCAGGGTTGTGCAGCGCATACAAATGAATAACATCGATCGTTTCCCTCCCCATCGCTGTCCTTGTTTTTGGCTTTAGTATCCTGGACTGACGCACTATAACCTACAGACGCTGCAAGGAGGGTCAATTTGTCACTACTTAACAACTATATACTAGAAGTATAATAACTTAATTTAAGAAGGGGGACGCACCAAAAATGGGGATAGCAATAGGAATCCCTCAATGTAAAAACGTAGATCATAAAGCGTGGCGATAAATCTGTAAAAAAAAAAAAAAAAAAATGTATTCCCAAAGGCAGCGTTTGTTTCAATCATTTACTGCCACTAGGTCCGCAATGCTCCACCAGCCTGTTGTTTTGTTTTCATTCCGGACGCCCCGCCCCCTCAGAGGAAAACATAAAAATAAACAAACACGCCACCTCATCATCAAAGCTCTGTTTAATGTTATATGCATTTAAAGGGGAATCTGTTGCAGCTAAAGCCTTTAAAGAAACTGAACGCATTGGTGTCAGTGGAACGAGCCATGCTGATGTCAGAGGTTTGCTTCCCCACGCAGCTCAACATGGTGGGAGGATCTCTGTGCATTGAGTCACGCAGCTGTCAAAGATAGCTGTCACCCACTTCCACGATCAAACACACACTGAGTCAACGAGGAAAGGGGCTTTGAGAGCAGAAAGGACGGAGAGGTCTCAGGTAAACCCCCAAGGCTATCGCTTTTTCTCTTTTTTTTTTTTAATAAAGCCTCCCTAAAAGGACCTGAGAAAAAAGGAAATAAACATTTTCTATTTTTATTTTATTTTTTTAAAGAAACTTGATGAATAAGGATTTCTTTCCCTGGGATACACGCTGAACGGAGGAAAAGAGACATAAGTGGGCTTTTTTTCCCTAGCAGAGATGAAGACGAAAAAGGGTAAGTGGGATGTTTTGGATCAGATTGTTGTGGTGTGAGAAAATCAGCAGAATCCTTCCTTCTCCATATGCAAACCATGCAGTCCATTGTTTCCTTCCCTGACATGACAGGGGGCTTTTCTTCCACCATGTGCTGGCGCGGTGTCAAAAGTCGATCCGCTTGTTTTTCCACTCACCTTTTAGGATAACGTTACACGTGTTTTTATGCCACTTTTGTTTATATGTTTAAAAAAATCCTCCTGCGTTTAAGCGGATTTAACGACTTTTTTTTTTTTTTTTTGTGTAAACTGAAGAAAACAAAAACAAAAAAACGTTTAAACTTCAAACAAAGATACAAAGTCATTTTTTCCTTCCCTTTCTGTTTCGGTAGCTGTCGCTGATATGCGGCTGAGTGGATGATATAAGCCCAAGTTGCTGGGAACCATTGTTTGTGTTTGTGACGTTTTCACAACGTGCTTTCTTTTATTTGAATCGACACATTGGAGCGTTTCTCTCTTAAAGTGACATAATTAAACGTGGGGAACCAGAAAGCAGGCTCGTGTTTATCCTGACCTCATTGTTGGGAAGTTTCGTGGACCTCGTGGCGCGGCTCATTCACGCAGACACACAATAGAAACCCTCTCACCAGTTGGTTTAAACTTACAAAAGAAAAACCTGCGACTTCATTGTGCTTGGACACTTTTTCTGCTCGCTGTGGTTAGTTGTAACTTTTAGAAAGGTGTTGAGCTCTCCATAAGGCATATTTTAGCGAGTGGAAACTTTTCAGTGGGGTACAAAGAAGCACGCAGCCCTTGGGTTCTTTTGTTTAGTCTGGAGACGCTGATTTGCAACAGGTCTCCCCTCCCCCTTTCCCCTCTCCTCCAGCCTACGTAATTACCTCATCCTGTTGGGAACTTTCTTGCTCTTTTCACTACTTTGTGTTTCTTAGACCTGTAGCTGAACAGAGGCGTAACCAGAATATTCTTATAAGGGTGTCCAGGCAATAACTAATGTAGCTACACTGAGGGGTGACACCAGAACTTGTTCCAACAGGAAAATTTACACGCAAAACTTCCATATTTTCTAAAATAAAGACTAATTATACTTTTCTACAACCTTTGCTAACAAATAGACGCATAAATTTAAACATCAATCGTCATAATCCACGGTGTAACGACACAACAATTGGCCCCCAAGGCAACATTATCTGGGTGGGCCCCATACGAAGTAAAACACTCTGGATTACCCATAATTCCAAGTCGTAGTGTAAAAAAATAAAATACTCAAATACATTGTTTTTTTAAGACCTTTATTATTTGTACCATGTTATATGAGTGTATTTTTTACCAACCGTCTAATGAACTATACACAGTTATGAACATAGTAATTAAAAGTACCACTGTCTGCTTTGTTGTTGGTGTCGTGTTTTAAACGGCTCATCATCATGTTGAAATCTGCCATGTGTTGGGGTATAAATAAGGTCCAGTCAGTCACCTTACAATCAGGTGGGTTTTAAGAAGAATTTTTCGCACCATTACGTCTGCAATCAGACGTCCCAATCCACAATTGCGAAGTGGGCCTGCCAGGTGTCAGTAACGGGGCCCCTAATAGGTCGGGGGCCCCTAAGTAACTGCAGTCTGCGCTTAATAATATTTACGCCATTGTTCGTAATTTCTAGATAAAAGGTAGAGTGGATAAAACTCAGTTTTGAGTTCTGGGGCATACATCAATGATCATTGTCATTACTTACTTGATTCAATACATATTCTGCATAAAATTTATATTTACAAGCACTAATATCTACATAAATCGATTATTTGATAAGTTTTTATTCAAATTGTTGTTTATCTTTGATTTCACTGAAAACTACTAGATGACTTGCAGACAGATAATTTTCTATTTTCCCCATATAAGACAAAATCTAGTTCTGAAAAGAGCATGAATTCTGTACTTATCTTTGATGTTAGTATATTGATGTGTATAATTAACCAGAATAAAAACTCGAGAGTATTACTGCTGCCACCATCTGTATTAGACGGGGGGGGAATGGTAGGGGTGGCCACCCCTAGCCCCCCATCTAGCTCCGCCCCTGTAGCTCAAAGTTTTTTTTTGTTTTGTTTTTTTCCCCCAAAAGTGCACTCAAATAACTTCAGGTGTAAATATTAATCAGAATAAATCATATCTGAATGGCAGAACTTTTTAAAAAGTAAGTATTTCTTCCAGAAGACGATAATTTTAGTGTTCAATCTGCTTCTAGGCAGGGGTTTCATATCAATATAAAAGTTTTTAAAATGTCCACTTACCATTCTTACAGTTATTAGAATGAGATGCCACACAGTGTTAAAGTGACAGAAATTTTCTTGAAGGTACAGAGGATGATGTTCTTTTTCCGGGTGGATCGTCAAAATAAGTGGTCCTCCCACCTGTCAATCATTCTGGTGATATGTTTACATAAGGCCGTCCTACATGCCCGTCCCCATTTTTACTCACCAGTGGTGAGTCTGACAGGGTGGAAAAATTGCTAATCTTCTTTTGGAAAGTCAGCTTGTATGAGCGATGGAAGCAGCAACTTTTAAACAGAGAAATGGGCTTGTGCATGCTCTTGGGTATTAAACATGCATTCAATAAGAGTTCCCTCTCTGGAGCAGGTACAGGGTAGTGCATGTTTTTTGGAGAGGGCATATCTTCTCAAAAATTCACACAAACTTCTCTATTATACCTTTAAGCCTTGTGGACCAAAACGCAGTGCCCCTCCCCAAGCTGTTGCTGCAAACTCTGGTCTGTTGGCTGAAATGTATTTCTCCCTAATTTAAAGGAAATATACATTTATGTGTTGAGCTTTGAATATGTTCCAGGGTTGGAGTTTAGCAAAATCTTGCTTAAGCCTCAAGGATTTGTAGTCCTATGAATTATATTATTTTTAGTTTTTAATATATGGGTTTTTACAAACCATATACTAAATAGGATTAGCACAACAAACTTAACATTGTTATAACTGGTCTTTTTTTTAGTGACTGTTTCATGTCATTTGCATGGTTTAGTATAGTTACTGTAGCATTTCTGTCCTTTTTTTCTACACCTTAAGATGATATTGTGTTTCTGAAGCAGTAAAAAAAAAAAAAAAAAGACACATAGTTTGGCACACAAATATTTCAAGGTGATGTACTTAACAAGAATACTTAATCTCTCCATCAGCCTTTGCTGATTTGCTTATATAAAATAAACATTGTATAATAGCTAAGCTGGCTTTTGCCCAGAGGCCACATCATCTGAAACTTTTCCCTTTAACAGACTTGTTGTAGAAACTACTGAAGCATCCCCAATCATTCCTATTAAGTCTATAAAGGTAGGAACTTTAACAGATATTAACTGATAGTGTTGGCATATCTACTGCAGTAGTTTTGAATAAAAGCGATTATATAAAATTTGTTTCAAAAGGTTTAAAAGTGAAAATAAATCTTTTCACTTTATTTTTCTTTGAGAGTCTTATACTACCCTGTGACTGTAGAACAGGAGAAATGTCTAACTTCTTTTTACTTTTGAAAACAGAACATCTACACGCACTGAAAGACAAGAAGAAGCCCCATACTGACCTAAGATGATATAAATGAATAAAAGCTCTTGTAGCAAAGTTATTCCTGGAAAAGGAAGGAAGGGGTTAGGTTTATTACTTAACGCCATGGTGGTGGCCGTGTTGATATGCCGCTGTTATGATGATTTAAAAGTCCCAAACCGCTGTTTTATTATGACTAACGTTGAAAGTGAAGCGTCTAATCTTCAAAGTCAGCATCCCACTTTAATATTCATTTCCGACCAGTTTGGATCGTTTAAGGCACATTTTTTTTTTCTTTTTTTGTGACACAGCATCAAACCAGTCTTTGTGACGTCCCCCCTTTCCTTCATCTCTCCCCCTCCCCTTTTCTCCTAACACCCTCCCTCCTTTGCTTCTTATATGAATCACATGGCTGAACTTGACAGCTCGCTTCTGACACATCAGCTGCCTTCCAGCAGACTTGATGAAAATGGGATAGGCCCTTCCTTTTTCCTGTCTTGTCCTAATGTGCTCTCCTTCTCTGGTTTCAGGTCTGGCGATGCTGTCGGGGAGCGAGACGGACGACGAGGATAGCGTCGATGCCCCTCTGGACCTGTCCTCTAGTGCTGGGAGCAACGGTAAACGGAAACGGAGAGGCAACCTGCCCAAAGAGTCAGTCCAGATCCTCAGGGATTGGCTGTATGAGCACCGTTACAATGCTTACCCCTCAGAGCAGGAGAAGGCCCTTCTCTCCAAACAAACTCAGCTCTCCACGTTGCAGGTATGATGTGGAGACACATAAAATGACCTAAGATTTTCTGCCTGTAAACAATTACAGTAAGAGAAAAAAAACCCACCAGTGTAAATCTGAGGAGGAAATGAGCAGGAGCTTGACTCATATCCTGTCAAGATGGTAAACGCAGCACTTCAACAGTGAATTGAGGGTCATCCAAACCAGCTCTACGTTGCAACATGAAAAAGTATATGAGGCAACGTGAAGAAACTCACTGCCTGTGAGTGCTGAGGGTTTGGCTGAGAGACATTGGACAGGAATTTCCCTCCCTCCAGCCGCGTTCCATCCCAGCTGTCTGGGAACAATGCACAGTCATTTACATACTTAGAGTTACTGGCCTCCCTGAGCCAGTTACAACTAGCCTGAAGGGGCAAACAAAAAGGGGGTGGGACAACCGTCATTAGGGCTGTAACAAAGGAGATATTGAAAGCTGTTAAAATCATAGTTAACGATTCTGGATGTTAATTCCTAAGCAGTAAATAAATTACCTAAACATAACTCCTTGACTTCATTTATGATTCAGCAAAATTGGTTTGTTGCTAAGACTGAAGCTTTATTCATATCAAAGGTTGGCTGGTTATTTAGATCCAGGCCGATGATTATTTATGCTTGAAATGGAGCCAGAAGGTGGCGTGTAACCAGAGATCTTCCCAATATTGATTTTAATGTGCAAAGAAGAATAAATAAATAAAATGTTTTTTTATATAAATGATTAATTTCAGAATTTTACACCTATTTAACTCTACATCTGACACTTCAAGTAAATAGGCATTACATGCTCTATTTTAAGTGCGTTTCAGACAGGAAGATTAATCGCGCTTGTAAACAACTTCACAATATCAACATGAAAAAGAAAACATTTAAAGGTTAAAAAACCCCACCTGAGTAAGGTCATTATTTAAATTTTTTTTTTAAATAGGCCAAATGTGGCACATCTTTTCATTTATCACGTTCCCCGTCAGACAAGCAAGAGGTTATCAGGAAGTATGAATTCTGACCGTTAAGGTGTTTTCAATATGGCAAAAAGGAAAGGTAGTGAAAGTTACTGGAAATAAAAGTTTGCTTCTGATGGTAAACATATGTCTAAACAAGTGGCACTATTCAACCTCTGCTGTTCCCGTTGTTTTAAGACACACACGGTGAAGAGAAGTACAAAATATATAACTTGTGATGCCAACAGCATTCTTGCTTAGAATAAAAAACAGTTTGCAGAAGTTGTCCTATTTTACTATTACAGAAGGTGTGTCTTGTGAAGTTGGATATTTTAGTGTGACAGTTAACCAAATAGTGTCACTTTCTAATTTGGGGATTTTTTTCCGTCTTGTTTTTCCAGGTGTGTAACTGGTTCATCAATGCACGGCGGCGGCTCCTCCCAGAGATGCTGAGAAAAGATGGAAAAGACCCCAACCAGTTCACCATCTCCAGGAAAGGCAGCAAAACGAGTGATAGTTTCTCAGACAGCTCCCAGTCCCCAAAACATAGCAGTCCCGCTGCGGTCGCCGAGGAGGCTTGCGACAAACGCATCCTCCACCCCTCCAGCTTTGATCCCAGCATTCCCAGTGTCCTGAGGAAGCCTGTGTCTCCCTCAGTGTCCTCTCCGGTCTCCTCGTCTCCCTCTCTTGGCCTCATTCCAAATCGTCCCTCTGTCATCTGTCACACCACTGTCACCACAGCCATGCAGGCCAGCCCGACAGCCTCCCACCCTTCACTGCCAGGGATGAACTGTGACAGGGCGGCCGAGCTGCTGCAGTCCATGCCGGCTCAAGCCGCGTTCCGCTGCCGGGATGAAGGGCCACTAAGCGCCACCACCACCATCCTTGGCACCAGCATGGAAGGCAACCTAAGCCCCCGCAGCGGTCTGTTCAACACCCCTCCCCCAACCCCTCCAGACCTCACACAGGACTTCAGCGGCTTTCAGCTCCTGGTGGACGTGGCTCTTAAACGGGCTGCAGAGATGGAGCTGCAGGCCAAGCAGCTGGTGTCCTAAAGGAGGGAAAGGAGACTGACTTTGAGTCTCCAATGTGGATTTTCTTTTCTGCACGCAAGAGAGAACAAACCTACACAAAAGGCTGATCATTTCTACTTTTGGTATACCAGTCGACATGATGAGGATGTATTTGTTTTTTTGTTGTTTTTTTTCTAAAGACTCTATCAAGGTGCCTTGGCTGTAAGTTTAGTCATTTCATATACTTGCATATGTATCTACATGTGTATTTTATTTGCACACAATGACCAAAAACCTTATCAAAGAAATGCTGCCTATCTTTATGTCTTTGACGTGTACCGAATATTGAGGTAGAGGGATGAGGCAAGAGTTGGGTGATTCAGATGGGCTGCGTCCACACACTTTGACGGTTAAAAACATTTCAGAGTTCCTGATTTGCTCTGCCTCGTTTGTTTGCACACTAAAGGCAGAAAAAAAAGGTCATCTCATTGTCTTACACTTTGCTCTTGGCATCCATCAATGAAAAAAAAACGTATTCACTACTGTAGTTAATGTTTAACTGTTTTCATACGTATAGTTATGATTTTGTCATTTACTTTTAGCTATTTTAAAACCAACTGTTTTTCTTTATAATCGTATTTTCATACCAAGGGATGTTTTCAGATGTCAAATGTAGCAGGTTCTTAGACTGAGCCTTTACCCCCCCCACCATCACTCAGAGGAAAATGATGGCCAGTGGACTGTATAACTATAAACACTACATATTTGCCGTTAAACAAACTGAAAAAGATACATTTTCTTTCTTTTGAAATCACCAAAAACAAGCATTTGCTTGCTTCTAATAGGATCATGTGTACAGTTAATGTGACACACTGCCACATGATGTGATTTCTTTTTCATACTGTGCAATGTTTGTGACAAGATGCCGTCACATGGGATTCAAATAAAGTTTTGTTTTTTTCTACATCTTGAGGGTTTTCTTTTATAAAAAAAAAATTATTAGCTTAATTAACTAATTACTATGCCTTAAAAGGAAATTTCAGGAAATTTTGCGAGTAAGGCGTTGCTTTTTGTCTGAAGCATTGATTTTAATGATATTGGCTTAAAGTAAATAAAAACTTTAAATATTTGGAAATTTAAATGAAAGAGACACAATTATAGATGTAAGAAAAAAAACACGTATATAAACCTGTGGGAAAAAAAAAAAAAAAATATATATATATATATATATATATATATATATATATATATATATATATATATATATATATATATATATATATATATATATATATATATATATATATATATATATATATATATATATATATATATATATATATATATATATATATATATAAACCAGAGAAAGCTGACTTGACATTTGTCCTGCAGGGATTTAACACCTCCCGGATAAACCATAAACGGTCAATTCGGAGGACAGCTGGTTGCTCCAGCTGAGCAGTATCCGAGCATATTACCACACTGCACTCAGTTATTCATTTAAACATTAAATGCCAACAAACCCTGCAAAAAGTGGTCACAAAATATGTAAAAAAATTAAATAAAATGTGTTTATTTGCCAGTAATTTGAGCAGGTAAATACGATGATCCGCCAATCGGAGTGAGCATTGTTGCCTTTAATATAAAATACATATTTTGCACTAGAAATAAGATTGAGTTGTGTCATCTTATTTTAATCATAAATCATCCTATCCATTGACACTTTTTCTCCTGCTTAAATCTAACTAAATTGTATTTTAATTTTTACAGTTTAGAAGATCAAAAATTCAATAAAACTTTTAAATCTGAGGGTTTTACAGTTTGAACTGAATTGATAAAATAAACCAATCCTTTGAGATGTGCCTATATAGTGAGAAGCAAACACGTGAGTCAATTTGTTCTCATCAAACAAAATTTCTAAAATAAGGGTTAAGTTAAACTCCATTTTTACAGTGCTTTAATTTCAAAGCAGACAGCTACCTTGGCTGAAAGTCAAAGTTTTTGATTATCATTGAAAGAAATTAAGTAGTCAACCTCCTGCTGCCAGGAGGTTGACTACCGGCCTTTTTACATATACATACAAATTGGAGTCATATTATGATGGTAGGAGGAGTCTTTGTCTTACCCAGAATAGTTTCTTTATCTTCTGGGATCAACAAATCTTGACTGAAAATTGGGGACATCCTTGGAGCCATCTACTATATGCTTATAGCCATTTAACAGAACCTCACTTCAAAAATCTTTCAACAATTCCTTTAACATGTGCTTAAACTCCTGTAAACCCAATTCAAATGTAACGATTACATTTATTTTTATGCCTTTAGGATAAGCAGAGGGCTTTGAGTTCAAATGTTCCGTAAAGAAATGCAACACAAGAAGACAGAAACAGTTTAGTACTCTCATTCTTTCCACTGGCATTCCTGGGTGTGAGAGGTTTTACAATGACTCCTGTGAATTAGCATAATCCTGCATAAATTAGCACAGGGGAAACAGCAGACGTCAACAGTTTCATGTCAGCAGGGGTTGGTGTGTCTGCATCTCTTTATAGATCATGATTGAGGCAGAAAGACAGGCAATCACCATTCTGGTCTTCCTATTAACCTAAAGATTTGCTCAAAAGGTTTTATATAAGTAGCCAGCATCTTAGATGTAGTAACTTTCTATTGGTTTGTTTGTTTCACACTCTAAAGTCAGAATATGTGAGTTTGAGATAAGAACAACAACAAAATCCCCAAACCTTACTACCAGCTTACAAAGTCAGCAAACCAGGGATCAACATCCAAGATGGCTGCTCTGCACAAACAACATTGTCAATCATCTGAACTGTGGTGTGAAAGGCCGAAGTTAGCTCTAAGTGCGAGAGGAACCAAGGCCAAAATTGACTTTCACTACCTTAAGAAAATTCCAATCAAACACACAATCATCTTCTTCTTACATCTCTTTTTTTTAGGGTTGGAAACTATTAATTCCGTAAAAATTCAAAAAATATCCACTGGACTTGGTTTTCAAGATTTGAAGACGTTTCGCCACCTCTCCAGGAAGCTTTCTCAATTCAAAATTACTATTTTGAAACTATTAATAAACTTGTAAACCATCATCCCGTTTTACACAGAGTGCTTATTAAGTGAAATCAAACACCTATCAGAATAAGTAAGTTTTCATTTTTTTTCCTGTAAATTTTAAACAGATCTAACCTTAACCCCCCCCCCCCCCAAAAAACTATGCCATTAATACTTTCCACTGTCCAATATGTTTTTTATGGGACGTCACGGTTTTAAACTACTTCCATCTTTAGAATAATTCACCACAGATTTCTCAGTAAATATCTCTCAACAGGAATAATAGCAAAGGTGTTAAGTTTTCCTAAGTAGTCCTCACATGAATCCCTTTTAAAGATATTGTTTTAACCAAACATTATGCAAAAAATATAGCTTCAACATCCTAATGGCTTACAAAAAACAAAAAATGTTCTTTCACTGGTTATGTGTAATATTAAACTAAAAATATATTTTAGTGTCCCAACAGCACAACTGTACACATAGCAAAAAACGAGCAATAAATGTACAAGAAAACAAATTAGTTTTTCCATACATATTTTTTCGATTTCGATAGATTAGATATGAGATTTTAATAAGATTAAAATGAAGTTTGGAGTTGATATAATATAAAACTGTGAAAAGGACAGCAGCAAATACTCAACTTATAAATAATAGTGAAATCACCATTTTGCATACTGATAGTATGCAAGCTAGAAGGTTTTTAAATCTCATGTTTTTTTAGTTATAATTTAGTTTTTTAATAGTTTATGACAGAGTCTGAGGGATTATTATAAAGTATTAAAGATTAAAACAGACCTTTAAGCAGAATAATAAAAACCCACCAACTTAGACTTTTGCATGGGATGCATAGAAACAAAACATCCTCTCATAACCAGCACAACGCAAACTCCTAACCCTGACCCTGACCGATGAGACCAGCCTACCCTACTTCCCATTATGGCTGATGTGTGAATGATAAATCACCAGAAGCTGCTCTGTGTACAGGAGCATCAAGGCTAAACGGAGCCCAAAAGTGCCGTTTAATTATGGGGATCTGCCCCTGCGGAAGGGGAAACGCCCCAAAAATGCCTACTAATCTGCTTAATTATATTGCAATTGAAAACACATGTTTAGACAGCGAAAAAAGAAATGAAACACAATAAAATAAGAGCAATGACTCTTTACTTTAATGCTGATAAGAGCTTATACATGTGCCATAACATCAACAATGTAGTAACATAATTACAAAATGTATATCTGCCTTATATGTTATTCATGTGGTTTAGTTTACATATACAAAGGGAGACATTCATTTATGTACAAATACTGATCTCTCCAACCACAGGTGTACCTCAAATTAGATTATCGAAAAGTTTCTTAACTTCAGCAACTTAATCCTAAAAGTGAAACTTAATTTACGACATACAGTGATATTTAAAGCTGTTTTTTCCCTCGTAACTTTAATCATTATATCTTACAGCTATTACAACCATAATTTAAATGAAGTTTGGGCAACATTAAAGGGCAATGCTAAAGGCATAGCATTGCTCTGAAGAAATGTTGGTTTTATTTATTTGTAGGTGGAATATAAAGTTAATACAAAATGAAATAATAAATAATCAAATAATGAAAAGGTACTGATACAGAGCTAGAAAGCCCCAACAGGCAAACAGAGTGGCTTTTCCAGAAAACAGATCTTTGCTTCAAACAGAATTGCAGAAGCCAGTTATGCTGCTCTCTTTACCTCTAAAGAGTAACTCACCCCAAAATATTTTTTTTGGCAGATACATTGTATAAGGCTGGCCTAGGGTTGCTATGCAAGTGTTAGTACTACAGTAGCTACAACCGTTAGATTAATCTGTTACTTAATGCTTTAATTAGGGGTGTCATTATCGATCGGTATTAATATCGGTCCAATATTAGCTAAAAAAAATATCGGATTATTTCAGCCAGCATCCAAAATTTCCAATACTTTCATGCGGAGCTTTCATGTTAGAAACACTCTGCCTCCTTTTAAAGTTTCTGTATCCAAATGGTTAATATCACATGGTTTAATTGTTGTTATACAGATTTTTGTTGCCTTTTGTTCTTCGTTTTTGTAATATCACTTGATCAAACATGTTCTGAAATTCTTTGATGTAAAATAAGTAAGCACGTATGATTCATGCTAATTTTGTATTGGGTCAATTCACATAGCTGTAGTATCAGTATGGTATCAGAAATGAAAAAAGTACATCTCTTGCTTTCATTAGCGGTACATGCTATCGTCGTAGCATTTAAATGAAACTTAATGCTCCGTCAAACGTCTCTCAGAATTTAGACTCCTAGGAACTTTCACTTCTCTTAATCTTTAACAGTCTTTGAAATATTAACTTCATACCAATGTTTAAAATAACAAACAGGCATAAAAAGCCAATATAAATGGAGTTTTGACCAACACTATTTTTGAGAAGAGCTAAATTGCTAAAATAGATTCCTGTTAAATAATATTGCATCAAAGTTGTGAAAAGGCAAAAACAAAAGAAACGGTACAGCAAATGTGCACAAGAACAAAAGTGTACATTTAAGATGACTGAGGAGAAAAGCCTGTGAAAATATTTTATGACAATGTTGTCGATGTGCTTTATTTGTCAGAAGACCTGCTGCATCTAATCGCCATAAATAAAAAGAAAAAAAACTGATGATGATGACATCAATCATCCTATTCTTAAAGCAACTTGGATATCTTTGAAACATAAGCCGAGAGAAAGGCTGTCCAACTCAAAGACATGCCAGATTGCCTCAGAATTTCCTGCAAAAGATCCTCTGGCCAATTATAAACATATTGTGATGTATAAGGATAATGTTTCAGAAGTCACAGGACTTGGAATCAAAAGGAATCTTTTTATATTAGTTTCGTTTTTTGCTCCAATTTGCTGAAAATCTAAAGATCGGGCTTCCAGGTTATAATCATGACAATGACCAGCAATAAAAAACTTAGCGTATCACTGTATGTGTAATGAATCTTTAAGTTTCACTTCTTATACAGAATTAATTAAATAAGTTCAGTTTTTAAGGATGTTTAAATTCATTGAGATCCAGATGCTTCAAAAGTTCAACATTCTGGTTTCGGTCTCCCTGTTACTTCAACATGGCTATACTGATATGTTTTAATAATATACATAGATAGAATATCTTTTACTAGACATTTAATGCAAACACAACTTTAAAAGTTAAAAAAAAAACTAAACAAAACAAAGGGCTTGATTTAACCAATGTGCCGTCCATCAGCTAAAGGAAATACAAATTGGATGTAGGAGTACATAATGTACATACGGTAATAAAATTTAAGGTAGCTGTTCAATAAGGTAAAAGAGCAGAATAAACAGGATCCCTGCTTATTCAATGGCACAAACATTGTCAGATCAATACTAAAAACTAAATTAAATTTGACTTTCTGCTATTCTATAATCTAAAATAAATAAAATGACAATAGGCCAGATCAGGATTGTCTCCACATTCAAGCAGCTAATAGAAATGCGTTATTACACTTGGAGAATGTTGGGTCAACTTTTTCAAACAGAGAAATTATTTATAATGTGTCGGAACGACTTTTACATTTATGGGGGATATTCCTGATGAGGAGGCTTATATACAATAAGAAATTGAACTTTGGGTCATATAGAGCTGCATTTCAAAACAATTAGAACAGCATAGAACGTGTTTATTTCAGTAGTTCAATACAGTGATATAATTTAATCATTTATTTTTAAGTTTTTAATTATTGGCAGTTGGCTAATAAAAATGATTTAAAACAGCAAATAAAAAACGACCTGCACTCTCCACTTAAAAAAAAAATGTACATGCACTACCCCTGTACCCGCTCCTGAGAGGGAACACCTATTAAATGCGTGCAAGAGCGCGCACAAGCCCATTTCTCCTCGTGCGTGCTGTTTAAAAGTTGCTTCTTTGCATCACTCATACAAGCTTACTTTCCAAAAGAAGATTTGCATTTTTTCCACTATGTCAGACTCACCACCAAGTGAAAATGGGGACGAGCACGTAGGACTGCCTTACGTAAACATATCACCAGAATGATTAACAATTAGGAGGACCACTGATTTTGATGATCCACCGGGAAATAGAACATCCTCCACTATACCTTTAATAAACAATTACCCCGCACTATTTTATTCACTCCTTGTGCAACTTAAATAATAGAAAATGACCAAAATTAACAGCTTGAAATATAACAATCTGTGTAATGATTCTGTACAAACTTAAGTCAATTACTGTAATAAACTGACCGTTCCATGATATTCTAATTTATTGAAATATATTTCAACACTCATATGAAGTCAGACACACACTCTAACCTCATTCACTCACACACGTACTCAACATGCCTCTTCCCCTGAGACTGCTGTTGTGCTCAACTATTGTAGTAGAAATTAAGGCTGATTACACAAACAGAAAAAAAAAAAAAACGAAAAGGTGGCTTTCATGCAAAAAAAGCCAATAAATAAAATCCAAACACAGTATAAGGGCCGTGTTGTTAGTGCATATTAATACTGATAACAACAATATTCACAATGTCAATAAACAGTGACCATCCAATTCATAAATCAAACATAAATACAAAATATTGGAAATAGAAACTTTCTGTATGACTTTTCCCAATTTCTTCATTTGGAGGCAAAGATGGACACACAGTGAGGGGAAATGGTCCCGGTCCACTTCTCTAGATTGAACACTACCAAGAAACGTCTCTTGGCTAGAAATGACGTTTAAGAAAAATATAGTACAACTACAGTATATTTTACCAAATATCAGTATTTTAGCTTTGTTTGATTCACAACACCTGTTTAAGAACAAACTTATAAAAAAAAAAAAGCATCGACATGAGAGTCATGTTATGGTATACTTGTTTCCTTTTTACAGACATGTTTTTCTGAGTTTAAAATGCGAAAGGACTGGTTTGGGTTTGTAGATGCTGCTACCATGACAGTGAGGACCCTTTAGGCTCTAGAAAAATAGGAAGCACTTTTGAGATCTAGATGAAAGCAAAAGCCTTTTATGACACTTATGCACACATAATTACAATTGCAGTTCTTTCAAAATAAGGACTACAGTTCCAACCTCTCGACCTAAAATGTCTTTTTTTTTCTCCCAATGACACTTAAAGTGTCATCTGATTTTGTCAAACACACCATTTTTCAAAAGTATTCACATGCCTTGAACTTTTTTTTTCACCCATGTCACATTGCAACCACAAACCTCTAGTTTTATATGATAATATGCTGAGTGGAACAGGATACACTGTTTTCCAAATATTTTACACTTAGAAATATAAAAAGTGTGGTGTGCTTTTGCATTTATCTCTAATTACACGGATACCTGATCACTGTTCTGTAGGCCTCAGATGTATAATAGCTCTGGAGGACAGGCAGAGTTCCACATCTTAGGTTGGAAAATCTTTTTAAAGGACATCTATTAGTTGTGCCCTACGAAATGAGAAAAAACTACACTTTATGGCTCCGAAAATCCTTAAAGGAAATTCGTAAAAAATAAATTAAGCTGCGTATCTTTTTACTTTCAGTTTACTTTATGTGGTAGAACACACCTTTCCACAACGTAACAGGGTAGTGGCTGCATCATGCTGTGGAGTTGCAAATCACTTTGAATACAAAGTGAAACATAGTGGTAGCAGCAGCATTTCCTTTTATGAAAAAGCTATACTTTGGGGTGGAGCATAACAATTAACTAGTGAAACCTTTTGATTTTGTGATCCTAATGTGACAAGTAAAAAAAAAAAAAAAGTTGAGGCAGGTGCAACTCAGTCAAGTAGTATTAGGCCATTTAATAGAAGAGGCTTCTCTTAGACAAACCTTTATGGGTGATGAACAGGATTGCTACATCAAAGCTGGGAAAAGGGAAATGAGGGCGATGGGAGATATATAAATAATTCAATAAATAGTGTCAATGTACATGCCCTGTTTAGACAACTTCCATGGCGAGTGAGCCCACAGTGATCTGGAAAACTCGGCAGAAAAGGTGAGTATAGCAAGTTATTCCCCTACCCTTCCCATTTAGTGCTACTACAGTGTTTATGAGACAGTGTAGATTATTAGACGTGTAGGCGTACGCATCCATGCGTCTCAGAGTCTGGTCTGAGCTTCGGGAATATAGATCTCGATGCTGTCTGCGCTCTCCGTCGCTGAGCTCTGCCGCACTGATGCAGCACGTTTGGCAGCAAGCAGGCGTTTGCGAGCCTCCAGGCGCTGGCGCTCAGAGCTCTCCAGCGAGTGGTCCCTTGCCAGAGGTGGGTGGCCCTTCAGGGGCTTCTTTGGCACAGGGAGGGGAATCCTTCTCTCCTGGATAAGAATGACAAATAGTCTTACAGCTGGTATTCCTCAGGGGCAGATTGAAGCTAAAACAGCAGGACAACTGCAAGTTTGCATGAAGGTTATACAAAGTACTTGGCGTAATAATATGAGAGCATGCAATCTCTGATAAGGTTATGGTTCACAGTGGTAGCCATTTGCGTGGGGTAAGAGAGCACGATGGTGGCCGTTGCATGAGGTAAAAAGACCATTGGAGATGGACAGGCTCCAACGGTGCATGGCAGGTAGAGTAGCTTCTCAAAAGCAGCTCACTGTCAACAACAAGATAGAGCAAAACACACAAGACAAGCAGCGGTGTCAGGCAGGCAACATGTATATGCATGCTACAACAAAGCCAACATGACAGCAGAAAACATGCAAGGTTACCGAAGCATTCCAAATTCATATTAGGGCTAAGCGTATAAGATTCGTTTTGGGACTTTATGTGTACGCACCTGAATTTCTGGGGGGGTTAGAGGTTTCCAGTTGTTAGCTTTGAGCTGGTGGAGTTCGTCAAACTTCAGGCTAATGTTCTCGATGGACAGCTGGAGCATGTCCCAGAAGCCCGCCAGATCCTGCGAGACGGGCCGTGGATGTGCATTTGGGTTCTGGCATGTACACATGAACACAAGCATGCAGATTAATATGTTTATATGCATGATTACTCACAGCTGTGGAAATCTACATTTCCTCTGACAGGTTATTTGGTATGTGAATACGAAAGCTTTAATTGGTCACTTGGCATTATACTGTAATTAGTGAAGACACAGCTTGTTTTAAGTGTATGTGTTGACTACAGCCCTAATTTTTTTCTTAAAATTTGGATCATGAAGGTATTCAGAAGGTTTTACTTTCCTTTATTACATTTTTGTATGTATTTTACATGGTAAACTAACACAGTGCAACACTTAATCAAAAAAAAAAAGATTGATGCAGACAGTTCTTACAAATAAACATTAGGTGTGGCTTACATTTGAATTCAGATCATTGGGTTCAGTACTTTCTATTTGTTTGAGATTATTATTTCACCAAAATAACAATTACAGAAATAAATGGATCGGGCAATTCTAGCACATGAAAATGTGTATAAACTATTACCATGTAGGTTCAGCTGCATGTTTAAGGCTGCTGTAAGGTAGTCTACAGTGTTTTGTCACCTCTCAAAGGTTTTCCTCAAAGACAACACTGTATTGGTTACTGTGCATCTCCCCATCAAATGGCCAGCTTCTACATACCAGCTGCAAGAAGCATTCCCACTGCATGATGCTGCCACCACCCTGCTCCACACTAGGGATGTTCTGTTCAGGCTGACATGCAGATTTTACAAAATCTGCATGTCAGCTTACATAGCATTTTGCATAAAGGCCAAAAAGCTCACGTTTTGGTCTCATTTTAACAAGTTGCCTTTTTCCAAATGTTTGATACATGGCTTGTTATCAATATTTCTAAAGGATTCTTTTCAAGGAAAGAATTTTTCCACAATGACGTCAGGATAAGTAAAATGCAAAACTAGGTTTTCAAATTCATATTATCTCATCTGTGGATTCATGTAGATTTTCTGGAGTTGTCATGTTCTTTTTCTATTCTATCCTATGCTAATCTATTGTATGACTCAGCCTTAAAACCAAACAAATCTAGGGTTACAACCTAATATGTAAGCTGGTAAAGACCTCTGGTCTTTTTTGAGGTCTTTGCTCAAACAAATCTTGGAGGGTCCCAAACAGAACAGAATGCCTCATACAGGAAATTACACACAGGTGAATTACTTTACGTTAACTGTTTCATTCAGGGGGATCAGGGCGACAGGAGCTCAGTAGAATGTAAATACAACTTTTCAGATTTATATTAGTGAAGATTTCCTTAAAACAAGTTTTCATTATTTCACTTCACAGCTATGTTGATCTTTGAGACATAGCGTTATGTATATGTTTGCAAAGGAGCATATTCGAATCAAATAATATGATATTGTGCAGGACTAATAAAAAACTAAACCTTTGTTTAGTCTCCTAGTTTCTTTTCAATGGCTAGCTTTCTTGTTATGTAAGACAAAGAACTAAAGGGTATGGCATTAAGACTCATAGATCCATCTTTATCAGGCTAACGGCTAAACTCAGTCAGATCTTTTCGATATGTGATAGATGGAACTGATGGGATGTCTACACTGTATGCATAGTTAATGACTGCTAGTTTGGCCTGTCAGCATGATTTGTGCAGGATGATGTCAGTGTAGATGGGGTGGGTGGGCGGGGGGGATGAAGAGGATGAGGTGACACATACCAGATTCTCCTCACACAGCTCCCGGAACTGCTGAAACCTCTGGGACATCAGCAGCTGGGCACTCCCCACTGCACTGCGGATCTTCCCTAGGACTGCAGAAGGCACAGAGGCACATGCATGCACACACACAGACACACACACACACACATACCAGACACATGCACACTCAATTCACAATGCAATTACTCACAGAGCTGCATACTGCAGGCATGCTGCACCACTCACAGGAGGGAGGTTCATTGGCAATGTAACAAAAGAATTGAAGCTTTACAGGATACAACCTATTCTGGATCAGACAATATCCACCTGAATTACATATGCTTAAACATTTTGCATGCTATTTAACTTGCAAAATAAAATGCCTCATTTAGTGTCCTGAAATGTTACTATAACCAAGATCTGTTACAAAACCTAATCATGTAAACATAAATAACTGTTGTTCTGGGGCTGACATTTGAGATGATAAATAATATACATCAATGCAAGAATTTTTCTCCAGAAGAAAACAGCTGCTTGTGGAATCAGAACCTGAGAAGGAGAGAGATGTGTCGGCACTGAGTCTTCTGCGCTTTCAGAAAGTGTGTGTGTCTGGTAGCGTGGGATCTGGGAAAACATAACCTTGAAACACCCTCCCTGTTCTCTGAGTTCTGTGAAAGAATCCCTCGCCTTGAACCAAAAACACTAGCTGCATAAGCAATGACATTTTTAGAGAGGCATGAAAACAGCTGCACAGCAAAGGACAGGTATAAATACGAGGGCTTCCTGCCCAGGACTTGTTTGCTCACACTAGTATAACTGTGCACTCAGTAGCTTCTCAGGATTTTCTTCAAGATCAAATAGTTGCTTTGGAACAGAACTGAGGGAAGTCTGTTTGGATGGAAGATCATTATACAGACTAGAGGACACATCTGGGGCTGGGGCCGGCAGTGGTCTATTGATAAGTATGCACGGTATGTCTGCAGAGGCCAGAGGGCCTGAGACAGGAACAAGCAGCTATTGTGGTCCGATATCATGAATACCGGCATCCTGCAAATCTAGGAGTGTTACAATGATAGAAAACCACATCTAATACTTATATACAGGTTTCTTCATAAGACATTTACATCAAATGACCCAACTTACCATCATCAGACAGCTCGTTCTCCACCTCATCCTGCTCCATCTGTCTGCACCAGCCCTCCATGCGTTGCGTTTCAGCTTGCAGCAACTTCAGGAACCAGCGGCCATCACGAGGGCACACAGAACGGCTCACCGCCTCCAGATTTTCCACTGCCACCGGTTCAGGCACGCTGTCCATCCAGGGGTCCGGGGGAGGTAGGATGGATGGATCAAAGCCCACCTCACCATATTCATCTGCAGCACAGGCATGGTAGTGGTTCCCAGAGCCCTGGATGCTGACAGTGGAGGTGGCAGCGTCATGGGAATGCTGGTGCGGCATGGTGGCAAAATGCCGCAATGGGAGGTCAGGGGCGTCAGAGGGGTCGTCGAGGTCTGCCTGGACGGCTGTGGTCACGCTGTTGGATCGAGTCATTCTGCGGTGACTAGAAACAGATAAGGGGACAGCAATCAAATTTAAAATCATACACTGATTTGCAACAGTATTGTTATCTAATACTGGAGTGTCATACAATTATATTGGGACCAGACAAATCATTTGTATTATTATATTGTTTTTTTCGGTGCCAGACTATCACAAAGCAGAAGATCTTTCTAAATGGAAAAAAAGGTAAATAGTATTGGATAAATCTTTTTCATGAAAACCCTTTAGCAGGACAGACAAACATATTTTTTGTCCAAAAAGCAAAGCAATACATGTTAACACACCATCACAATGGAAAGCATGGTTGTGGAGATGTCACATTACTATTATTATTTTATTTTTTTGTACAAGGAATTTTGCGCTTCCTATTTGGAATTCTTGACCATCAGGCAGCATTGGACATCTTCCTGAGCACCTTCACACATTTTTATGCTGTTGTTTTTTTTTTTACACTGAATCACAAAGAAGTAGATATTTGAAGTTGTCACTTAGAATGTGAAAGAGTTAAAGGAGTGTTAATACTTTGGAAAGCACTGAATTGTTTCTCATTTTTAAGCAGCTGCTAGCTCATTAACACAGTTCCTGGGGGGGCTATGGAGAGTAAAATATTGAAATCATGATCACAGTGATCTCTGATGATAGTGATGAATGGCTTTTGTAATGCAGAACTTCTTTGTGTGTGGGTGTATGTGTGTAGAGGGGGGTGTTTTGTCACCTGTCTCATTCAGGAGCAATAGAGTGTGCTAACATCTGTCACACCGTAAAGACTGCTGTGGAGCTGACATGCACACAGACTCACTGAAGGCTTAGAAATACCCTCATTCACACAGATGGGAGACTGCAGTCTAATGTTTGGCTCACAGGAGTTGTGCCACTGCCTGCCAGGTTTTTTTTAAGTTATCAGTGAATATAAAGCCACACACAGACACTATTCAACAGTCAAGCAATGAATAATACGCTGGAAGGATGCAGGCGTTTGCACCGCACTGCTGCAAAAAACCTATTAGTGTTTTAATAGCCAAGCCTGCACAATTTACGCTGACCCAAACCTGACCGCAACCCTAAAATACAAAAACCACAGCCATAAGACTGCCTATAAGACTGACAACCATTCATCATACCACCGGATGCACACTTCTGCTCCAGAGGTACTCATCTTTAATTCCTCCCTTATCCATCCCTCCTGTTCTGTAACCATGAACAAGACCAGGGAGGGGGATTGGCACCAGCAGGATCAAACGTGAGTTTGTTTGCACTCCATGTGTGCATAAAGGCAGCCCCGGTGTGTGTAAGTATGTGTGAAGAGCAGTTAAAGAGTAACTCCAGCGGGCAGGTGTTCACTTCTAATGACTTTAGCTGAATTTCTACAACTCCTTGCAGGGGATGAGAAAGGCAAGACAAAACCCAACCCAGACAGGTATGTGCATTGATTAAGTGGAGACCAGAAACAAGAGGAAGGAGGGCTTTTAAAAAAAGAAGACAATCATTGAAAACAACTTGTAAAATTTTGGTTCAAATAAGTATTTCTATTAGAACCTATCTCGGATTTTAGGAACCTTGTAAATACATCTAATGGTGGAAAACAATTTGCTGCAAAATTCATTTTTTTCATATTCAACCCATATTCATGCAGGATATTTTCATTGAGCTTAAACAACAGGCTCTAACAGGAGCTGCAAAAGGCACAAGACTCGGAGGTTTATCTTCCACTGTTTCTCTGAACCTAAACATACAACCAAATCCATTTTAATTTTACTTGTAATGTGACAAAAAGAAGAAATAGTTTAAATGGCATAAATCCTTTATAGCGACACTGAAAAAAAAAACAGTGAGAATTTGTTTTAGGAAGAAGAACCTGAGAGAAAAAAAAGAAATCATAGTCTTCAAGTAAAATTAGTAAACCTAAGGCACTAAATACAGAACATCAAGAAAGTAATAGCTAAAATAATTATGTTTTCCATTCTCTTCTCAGCTTAACTTAAGCCTCTTTCCCACTGAAATTAGACGGTTGACTACAGGATTTTTCCCACATGGGTTGACCCGCTAACAATAAGCATTTGGCTGTCTTTTGTGAAAAAAGCTGGGTATAACCCCCCCCCCCGGCAAGATGTATGGCCTCTGACCCCCCACTGCTGCATATCTTTTGATGGCATCACACTTGGTTAGGATTGATGATGTCACCAGTGCGACAGAAATCAGGAAAGTAAACAATGAAGGGAAACATGTGAGGAAGCCAGCAAGTATTAAGTGTGTTTTATCGTTTTGTTCTTTTGTCCCTCTGAATTTCTCTCAACAGTGCTGCGCCATATTTATTAAATACAAGCAGAGTTGTGTCGACTTGTATGGTCAGACACGACTGCCACAATGTCTTTATATCCGTAAGTTGTGTCGATGGTATGTGAAATAGCAGGTAAACGTGGGTCTGATGTTTCAATTGCATGCCGATGGGAGCAGAGCAGTTTGAATGTCGACATGGGTAAGTGAGTTGTTCCCACCGACACTTAAAGCCGATTGTTCATGAGTTTAAACGTTTTTTAAGCCAGTGGGAAAAAGGTATTAGTCAGATAACAAGGAAAGGGTTTTGAAGCCTAGTTGTCTGCCAGGAGGACTTGATATGACTGTGTCACCATAAGGCTGAGTCACCATAGGACTGAGTCACCATAGGGCTCAGATTAAAAAGCCATCTGACACCAAAAAGTCCAAACCTTTTCCTGAAAGCTTAAGACACTGGAATGCAAATTTTATTTGATGGCTAAATGTTTCTTAAAACAGGAAAAGTAGATGATGAAAGCTGAATCCTTTATTTCCAGATATTTAGAATAAATAAAATGTCCTCTGGCTTAGTCAGATACAGCTTGTTTACATTTCTTACTGGAGATAGCAAGGACAGTCATAACCAACAGATGCTCATAAACATCCAAAAGCAAGGAAGTAGACTTATTTAAGTGGCTAAATAATTAATATTCACCATGAATAAATAGTTCAAGAAACTAAACATTAACCATGAAAGAAAAGGCAGACATAATGTCCCAGGCAGCCAAGGAAGACTCAAAGGTGTCTGCATGAGTTAATATTTGGCTTGGCGACTCATGGAAATCCGAGCTTGGCTGATCAGTTGAGACCTCCTCTTTGAGGAAATCCCCTTACATTCTCTGACTATTCAAGTGTGCATTTAGAAAAAGTGCTGGACTCAGCCCTCCTGGGCATCTTTGATTAAAGTCAATCTCCTTGAAATATTGAAACAAACAGCAACATGACCGACAAGTTGAAAACTTGTACTGGCTACTGAACAGAAGTTCACTGTATTAACAGGGGGAATAAAAGTAGACCAGGAGGAATTTATACTAAAATAACATTCAAGCTGGGCCTTTTCTCCTAAAACTGGTGCAAAAAGAGAACCTCTGTGTCTCTCTGAGACAAACAAACCCAATAAAACATGCATGCTCTGCTGTCTCCTCGGTCCTAAACATACACAAACAGAGACATCTCAAAGTTCTATGTGTTGAGCAAGAGATGGCTGTCAAATTTCTCTCCCTCCACCTTCTCAACCCGCCCCCCCACACACACACACACATCCTCTGGCCCAGCTGTCGCTTGGGGCCCCTGGATGAGGGGACTCTGACGCCAACCTCCCTTAAACTGGGGACAGCTGCTGAGTTTTCAGTGTGAGAGGAGGGGTTTGGGGGTCAGGAGCTTGCAAACCACACCACCAACCCTGTATGTCTACACAAGCCCAATGCTCTAGTGTATACTTCCCTTTAGACTGATCAGGTTTCTCCCTTTGTGTGCCCACTCACCATCGGTCATCCTCCACCTGAATTCCTATTGACTGGAATTTAGACTGCTCATCTGTTGGCCCTCCTTCCTCTGGGTCCACCTAATGGGAGAGAAGAATCTGTCAGAACTGTGGGCGGGGTATGTTTTCAGTTCAAGCATAAAAAATGGTTTTCTTCAAACCTGAATCCCGATGGAGAGGCACTTTCTAAGCGCTTCTCTCTGTGCCTTGCTTTCAGCCGTGACAGAGGTGGTGGCCGTGGCAGTGATGGTGATGGTGCTGTTAGTGACGTGCTGGCTGACCGGGCCATGCACCTGAGCATTGGCTGCCTCAATGGCCGCCGTCAGGGCTTTCATGCTGTCAATGCTCTCAGTGGAGTTGGAGAGTCCTTGCTGGGAGCTGATGCCCGCTCTCTGGCTAGGGCCTCCGTCCATGTAAGCATCCTGGGCTGACTCAGTGCTGCTCTGTGCGGTTATGGAGATGAACGGTTTGGATGGGGTCATTCTTGGCGGAACTGGCGGAGGAGTCTTTTTGTATGTGGTGATACATGATGACACTGCAGAAAAAGTACCAAAAAAAAAACATAAATAAATGTGTACCTGCAGTAAATACAACTTCATTCATGCAACAGCTTGAAGTGTTTTGCCTGTTGGTATTTGATAATTTAGGTTTTGACAATGAAAAAGCTTTTCCACAAAATTAGCCTTTTATTTAAATATTCTTAATCACTCACTTAATATTTCTAAAATCATGATCAATTTGAGAACATTTATTGAGACTAGAAAAAAATAAAATTAAGAACAAACATCAAACCATTTTAAAAGTTGGAACAAATCTCTAGCTAGAAATAGGGAAAAGAAAAGAAAATGTCTGTTAATTGTTCCTTAATTTTCATAGGTTAAGAAATGGTAACAAGGGCTTTTGATATCAATATATGAACCTTTTAAAATTACAATTTACCAACACTTTCATTAGCACTCCATTTCTTTTCATTTATACCACTCTTCCTAAGCATCTGCTTCTTATGCAACAAGATAAGGGCAGAGGGCTAACCGGTGCATTGGGGATTTACAGATTAGGCTTTTTGTAGTTGGTAATGATTTCTTCTGTAGACTTTCTACTTTTGAATCCAAAAAAAAGGAGAAAAAAAATTGGAGAATTCAACTGATTCATGAAACAAGGTCCAAAACTATTGAGTTCTGTAAAATTAGGACAATATGCACCAAATGAGTTTATAAATTAGAAATAAAAAGACTTCTTCCTTTTGGTTTGCTCAGAACTGATCAGAGCCAATAACGGAAAAACAAGCCACCTGATTGGTCAATCACCTATCCATCCCAGGTACTGGCATAAAGGACAGTGAAAGAACTCTCATTTGGCCCAACATCTTTCAGCTTCTTTTCCCCCACATTCTATAGTCAATCAACACACACCTTTGGCTGAAATACTGGAGTCAAATGATTGGTGGAATTAGGGCCAACTTTGGCAAATCGAAGACTCATCTTGTAATAGGATTAACATGTCAGCTTCTTGGACCCACTGATCTATACGATTAGGCTTTTACACGCCGACAGTCTTTAAAATGGTAATACAGACAAAATGTTTGCCTGCTCACCTGTTTGTCTGTTGCTAGCACAAATAATTACAAAAGAGGTTAATTGACGCCATGGAAATGCACAACAGATCTCTATTCTACCTGAATGAATGTTAAAAAAAGACATAATGAGAGCTGTCTTTTATAACACGCTCATTCTTTCTGTCAGCATTCCCTCCTTCTCATGTTACAACTACAGGTCCTGTACAGACAATGGAGACTCTCACACATCCTGACTCAGAAGCCTCTCTATATTCCAGCAGAGAAAACCCCCCCAAAAACAAAATGGCCATCTCCTAACAACGTTATGACACAGAATCTCCTTTTCTGGATGGTACTGTCATCCGAACTAGGTTGCACGCTCTACATGTTCTATGGGAAAAGTAGGTCAGCGGGTTTCCTGGCTCTCTTCTAATCCCTGCAAAAGCCAAACATCCTACCCCGGTGAGATTGTGGCTCTGCGTGCAGCAGACAACCTGTTGACAACCACACCCAGCCCTAGAACCAGAGTCCAAAAACAATTAGAGCTCGGGATCTTGTTCGCTTTGTGTCCTGACATACTGAAGGTGAACAGAGGGGTGACTTCATGTTGATTTTGATTTGCCCGAGTCATCCGCCGCCTTCTGCCACAGCAGGGATTGGATCATCCCAGACAAGGTTTCAGTCAGGTTTTGACAAGCTGGAAATACATGTCAGATGAGCTTTACTGTAATGAGATCATGGTTGCTCATGTGATGGTCTTTAAAGGACATAGGGGACATAAAAAACAAGGTTTGTACTTCAACATATGAATCCAACATGACCAAAACCAATTAGGGGTAAAATAAAGTAAGTAAGCATGTCTTAAAATGTTTAACCCCTACAGCAACAAACAGTGTCAGGGGACATTTCTGCATTTTAAAGTAACACCAAATGTAGCACACAGTTGTGAAGTAGAAGGAAGGAGGGAAGAAAAGCTTTTTTTGCACACAGAAATGGAATTTTATTTTGATCACTCTGGTTCAATAGTCTTTTTGGGCATGTTTCAACCTGCTTTTCCCATCCAAAGGCTGAAATCCCTGCTTACTAATGCTGTTTATACTGATCTTGAATTACGCACAAATTAAATCTACTTAACAGATGTTTCCTCTGGGGTGTGAATCGTTTTATTTTGGGGTATCAGTGTATGAGGTAGGAAAGTAGATTCTGAGATGTAAAAAATCTGGAAAACAATGCATCATTTTCCTTTGACTTCCTAAACATGTCCTTCTTTGTGCCATTCAAAAACACAGAGGTTTCTGCTTGTAACCTGGAATAAATCTGATAAAGTAGTAGTAATACTTTAACTGGCCTTTGGGAACATAATTGTTAAGAATTAAGGGGAAAAAAGGCATTCAGATGCACTGAGGGGCGGGTGAGGTCCTCCCCCTAACAACCAAGTGGTTCAAAGGATAAAATGTCAGCTGCTTTCAGACAGTCTATCCCCTGAAGTAATCTAAAAGTCACACAAGGGTGTGTGATGGGGTGTGTGTGAGTGTTTGTGCACTTCTCCCTGGCCATCTGAGGAGTTAAAGAGGGTTTTCATCTGCTCAATACAGCATTCTATGAAATTGGAGCTGGCAAGTAGCATCCCACCTTGCTGTCAGGGCCAGAGCTAGGGACTCCAGAGAATGACAAGCGGCTTTGAATGCCAGGGCAGGTTAAATAAACACCCAGGAGTCTGGACTAGCCCACTCACACATGAGCGAAGGTGCAGGTCTGCAGAGAAACACTTTGAATACAGACACAAGCCCGCTTAATGTTTCTGCCTTTCAACATCACGATGGGGGTGGGAGTGCAGACTTCCTGTCCGTGACATGCTCTCCATCCATCAGAGGCCATTGTCAACAATGTGCTGGTCGGTGCAAAGGAATACGTTGGAGTAAAGGTACAGGTGCTGGTCATAAAATTAGAATATCATGAAAAAGTAGATTGATTTCAGTAATTCCATTTAAAAAGTGAAACTTGTATATTATATTCATACATTACATACAAACTCATATATTTCAGATGTTTATTTTGTTTAATTTTGATGATTACAAATGACAACAAATGAAAATCTCAAATTCATCATATCAGAAAATTAGAATATTACTGAAGACCAATAAAAACAAAGGATTTATAGAAATGTTGGCCAACTGAAAAGTATGAACATGAAAAGTATGAGCATGTACAGCACTCAGTATTTAGTTGGGCCTCCTTTGGCCTGTATTACTGCAGCAATGCGGCGTGGCATGGAGTCGATCAGTCTGTGGCACTGCTCAGGTGTTATGATAGCCCAGGTTGCTCTAATAGTGGCTTTTAGCTCTTCTGAATTGTTGGGTCTGGTGTATTGCATCTTCTTCTTCACAATACCCCATAGATTTTCTATGGGGTTAAGGTCAGGAGAGTTTGCTGGCCAATTAAGAACAGGGATACCATGGTCCTTCAACCAGGTACTGGTAGCTTTGGCACTGTGTGCAGGTGCCAAGTCCTGTTGGAAAATGAAATCTGCATCTCCAAAAAGTTGGTCAGCTGCAGGAAGCATGAAGTGCTCTAAAACTTCCTGGTATGTGGCTGCGTTGACCCTGGACCTCAGAAAACACAATGGACCAACACCAGCAGATGACATGGCACCCCAAACCATCACTGACTGTGGAAACTTTACACTGGACTTCAAGCAACGTGGATGAAGTGCCTCTCTTCTTTTCCTCCAGACTCTGGGACCTTGATTTCCAAAGGAAATGCAAAATTTACTTTCATCAGAGAACATGACTTTGGACCACTCACCAGCAGTCCAGTCCTGTTTCTCTTTAGCCCAGGCAAGACGCTTCTGACGCTGTCTGTGGTTCAAGAGTGGCTTGACACAAGGAATGCGACAGCAGAAACCCATGTCTTTCATACGTCTGTGTGTGGTGGTTCTTGAAGCACTCACTCCAGCTGCAGTCCACTCTTTGTGAATCTCCCCCACATTTTTGAAGGGGTTTTGTTTCACAATCCTCTCCAGGGTGCGGTTATCTCTCTTGCTTGTACACTTTTTTCGACCACATCTTTTCCTTCCCTTCGCCTCTCTATTAATGTGCTTGGACACTGAGCTCTGTGAACAGCCAGCCTCTTTAGCGATGACCTTTTGTGTCTTGCCCTCCTTGTGCAAGGTGTCGATGGTCGTCTTTTGGACAACTGTCAAGTCAGCAGTCTTCCCCATGATTGTGTAGCCTATAGAACTAGACTGAAAGACCATTTAAAGGCTTTTGCAGGTGGTTTGAGTTAATTAGCTGATTAGAGTGTGGCACCAGGGGCCATCAATTTTGAACCTTTTCACAATATTCTAATTTTCTGATATGATGAATTTGAGATTTTCATTTGTTGTCATTTGTAATCATCAAAATTAAACAGAATAAACATCTGAAATATATGAGTTTGTATGTAATGTATGAATATAATATACAAGTTTCACTTTTTAAATGGAATTACTGAAATCAATCTACTTTTTCATGATATTCTAATTTTATGACCAGCACCTGTAAATTCTACTGAAGAAGACATGTGGTTACCATTTTTTTTTTTTTGGGGGGGGGGGGGGGGGGGGGGGTCTTACCATCACTGGTAAGAAATGGTAAAAAAACAGTTTGATTTGAAGAGGTGAATTCATTGGGAGAGCTGCACTGCCTCAGACCTCACACATGCAAAGACAGCCAAGGACAGGAGTTAATCAGGAATGCAACACAGGATTCCATCAAATCCTTTCACAATGATTAAGGAAAGCTCTCCTCACCTAATAATGTCAAAGATTAACAAGGAGACATATTATCTTGCATGCAATGGAAAAGGACAACTCTCTCACTTAACAGGAATGGTCTTGAGGAATTTTCCCCTCCATCCCAACAAACAGCTCTGCCTTACAGAGGTAGCTGCAGCCTGCTGTGACTATTGTTATCCCAAAAGAGTAGAGGAGTTTGTGAATG